CGTGATTGGCGGCCGCCATGGAGGAGATTGATGATGACTTAGGCAAGAGAAGGAAAGAGCAAAGCGTGAAAGGCGAGAGAGAAAGAGGTGTGATGACTATGAGAGCTGAGATGAGAGGGAAAGAGGCGATGGAGCTGAGAGGCGATTAGGGTTTAGTGCAAGTGCTGTTAATGATCTTTAAGAATAAAAAAATTAAAAAAAATACATCGGTCCAGTTCGGTTCGGGCGGTCTAGATAGTCCAGTTCCCACCTTGAAATCGAAAAGCAGATCGAAAATCACCGATTTCATGAGGAACCAGACCGGCGCTCCCGAAAACTGCTCAAAACTAGCCGATCCGAGTGGTTCCCAATTTGGGTAGTTCTCTATGCTCACCCCTAGTCCCGGATTGACCTTGGAACCAAACCCACAGGGTCGGTCCAATTCTCGATCCCAGACTTAATAGGGTCGGTCCCCAATCCCAAAAATTGGGAATCGACATTGTTCGGGTTGGTCTCTAGGTTAGGTGCAAAATCGGCCCAACCCGGATCATGCTTACCCCTAGTTTTGAAGCATCAATTCACTCATTATCTTTCACAAATGGCTGCGCAAATTTCTAAAAAATTGCATCAGTCCTTAAAGATTTCTCTGCCAAAATAAAAATAACAGCTGAGTTTTTTGTTTTGTCGAAAGTAAATATTCCATTCATATCGCAAGATGATACATGAGAGGTTCAAAATAAAGTAAATCGCAAACAACAAAGTAAAACAATAAAGCACAAACTGTTATGATAAACACACTCTCATCTCATAAAAATGGATTTGTCTCGGCATCAAATAGAATGTCTTGCTCAATGGGCGATGCACATCTAGTTTCAGCATCCTCAACACAATCATGTACGGAGACACCAAAAATAGATTGAACGGGCTCTCAAATTTAGATTAATAACTGAGATAAAAATTTGAATTATGACATGGAAATTCAGGAGCTGATGAGGGGAACCTGTAGATCCCTTTTCCCGTGCATGACTAAAGTATGTTATCTTGGGATTGGACCATTAATTGAATGAAAGTCCAGTGTTTACCCTGCGCTCTTCTCTCTTCTCACGCCTGCTGGGGCCGAGTCATTGAAGACTTCGACTCGTATCTTTATGAAGCATGGTGGTACTTACCCCAAAAACCCTAATTTTTAACACCTCCAACCCTGAATTAATTGAAGAACCGAAGCCCAAAAATGGGTTGGCACACAGGCCGATCGACGGAGTGTTACATTTGGCAACGCAAGTATCATAAATAGCATGGTGATTGTGGATAACACAGAAACGAAGATGAACGGCTATTTGTTTTCACGGATAATGTTTGAAATTAGAGCGATCTTGTTGAAGACAATTCAGCACATGCCCCGGAGATGGAAATTTCTCCACTCGATTCGTTCGCATGACCCGTTTTCGTATTCGTTCTAGTAAGATGAAAAACGTAAACCTGATTGTTCAACAAGAATCGAACTTTCACGGGGATTGAGCGCCAAACTTGTTCGCACAGTGGAGTGGGATGAGTACAATGCATGTCGAGCGATTCCCCGTTTGCATAGATTGGGAAATTCATCAAATATACACGAGGGAGGAAGCGTCAAGTAGGCATGTAGCAAACATATCACGAACAAAACACTTTGAGCTAAACTTTGGAATGATTGAGTTGGAATCTTAGATGTGGAACAGTTTTGCCACCATGAGACACCAACCAATGTACAGTCGACCACATCACACAAAACGAGTTTCAGCCGAGCACGGATTTGTATCCCCTAACGTAGTGCCCGGAAACGGTCTATCCGCCACATCTGGTGGTCGACGGACGGAATGAAAACTCTAACCCGAGTGTGACACCTCTAACTCCTCATCGATCAAAGTAATCACTCAGTCAGGTGCTTAGACATGAACATAAGTGCATCCATTCGGATAAAAACTCAGGACAACAGAAGGGAACGTAACAAGATGATTCGATTAGGTGGGTGGAAAATTAAGGAGGAGGAGGATACGAAGGTTGTGATTGAATTCGTGGATGCAACGAGTACAGACACAGGCAGGTCGAAAATGGAAGGAAACAATAATAGATTGACACGAGTTACGAGAAATAAAGAAGAAATGCACGATTCTTTTGCAGGCGGGTCTGTCCCGCCAGGCTTATGGTTCTCTCGAGAGCCCTTTGATAAGTTAAGGACGACGATTCTCGTACCCCTCGGACGCTCTGGCCGTAAATTCTTTCCTCTTTCATTTCTCTCATATGTCATCAACTCATTCATTGTTAATCGAATCCGTCGTACACTATATTTCATTTAATCGTAAAATCACTGGTTTTTTTTCTGAGTGACAGCAAACTCTGGTTGTGTACAGTAAATGCTGACTGTTAGTAGCTGGCGGTATCATTCATAGTGTGGTATGACACGTTCATTGAGAGCCGAGGGAGGCCTTTCATGACAAACTTTGTTTATTTCATGATAAATCTTATTTCTTTTCACGATTTATCTTCATTATAAGTGAATAATTGCAAACATCAACTGTAACCCACGGTCGTTGTAGCTAGAATGCATAAGTTCTTAATAAACTTTACTTATTCTTGATAAATATTCCGATTTCGAGTAATAATTCAAAACCAAATCTTTTGCTAAGAAAAATGCACTCGTTAGTGGTGATATTGGATTATTTTCAAGTACAAGTGGCGTAATAATCAGTTCAATGAGAGCAGAGAGTAATCGCTGGACCTAGAGGACCTTGATAAAGAATGGCTCTCAACAGGTTTCTAGGTGGTGGAGGGGGCATGAATCAACTGAATCGTGCATTAAATAGGATAAGCGCACTACCAGAATGGGTAAACTCATGGAGAAGTGCCTACCTGACTGCCAAAAGACAAAATAATGAGATTCAATATGGAACGAGTTAAAATAGACAATATATCGAGTGAGTTAACTCATAGAGAGAGAGAGAGAGAGAGAGAGAGAGAGAGAGAGAGAGAGAGAGAGAGAGAGAGAGAGAGAGAGAGAGAGAGAGAGAGAGAGAGAGAGAAATGGAGTTGTCACCGCCCGCCATCACGTGCTCTATCAAGGGTTTTTGAACCTAGCCTATCGATGGACGAGTGCAAGCGACCCTCACCAAGAACCTTGTTTTTTTAGGGCGAGGGTTGCATGACCTTTACCCACCATCGGGAAGGGTGTCACAACCCTCGGGGGTAAAGTACCCAAAAAAATCTAAACATATAGTATCGTTCTAATTTAGTTTTAAATCTTTTAATTATACAAATTGAGTCCTAAACCTTTTAACGATTTGCCAATATAGTTCATCCAGTTAATTTTGACCGGAAAATCCTGACATGGATGCCGGTTGTCCTTGACATAGACAAAATTTACAATTTGTAAATATTTTTTCTTTTCTTTTCTTTGTTTGTATATTTTCACAACTTTGGGCCCGCAAGGGCCAGCAACCCTCGCCCAGATCTAGGTGAGGACACCGTAGCCCTCACCCATACCAGGTGCGGCCAATAGGCAAGGGTCATGGCTCTCTCTTGGATCTTGGTGAGAGCCCGATGCCCAGTCCACAATTAGGAAAAAAAGAAAGCAAAAAGAAAAGAAAAGAACAGAACAGAAAAGTAATAAAAAAATTTGTCCAGGTCAGTGTCGATCATTACATGTATGACGTTGAGTGTCCATATTAGAGGTTTCCGGTCAAAATTGGCCGACTAGACTACAATAGCAAATTGAAAAATTTAAGACTTAACCGGTATAAGTGTAATAGATTTTAAGAATTTTTTTTTGTATTTTTTCTCCTCCCTGGTAAAGCGGTCATGGAAGTTTATTAAACGATGATCTAACAATTTCAATATTAAGTGAGCTCGCCATGGAAGTTTGCGTGTATATAAGGGAAAACGAGCATATGGTCCAAGTTTAAAAGAGGACAACAATGAATAAATATGATGTCTTTACATATTCTTCGACTTTAAAGATCGTCAAATTAGTCAACATTAAGTGTCGGCTAAAAAGGGGTGAGCTTGGACCAAAACAACCTTGAGAAAACGCATTTGATACCTTTAAAAAAAAAGGCATTCGGCAATACTTTTAGAATAATTTTCAAAAATAAAACAAGCAAGACAATTTCTATAGTGAAAATGACTTTATACTCATGTAATGTAAAGACATTTAATTGAGATATCAACAAAATAGTCGAGCACGATATACTCCAACCCTCCAGTAAAGAAATGTTACAAATAGCTAAGAAACTGACATATGCAGACAGGAAGCAGTCCTAAGTCCATGTACGCTTTCTTTCACCGTCCGAACTCCAATGATCGGCTGAGCCCTGCTCCTCGGGTCGACCCGGCCTTAGCGGCCACGCCTCTAGAGATGATTAAACGGTCCTATAATTGGCGCTTCATTTGGTACGAGCCGCGAAGTTGAACGAAAGCCTAACAAAGAGAACAGAGTACTTCAATCGGCATCACTTCGACAAAGCCGCTGGCTGTACCCTGAATAGTTTATCCCGCGAAGCGTCGTGATCCGTGTGTTCAACGAATACTGTTAGAATAATTAAATATTAAATCACGCTTTCATCTATCAACTTAAACTTTTAGAACAGTTGATAGTAGTCCCACCTAAATCCCACAATGTATCAAAGAAGAAGATTCTGAATTCAAATCTTAAGTTTTTAGAATAGTTGGCAATGGGCAGTGGTCCCACCTAAATCTCACAAATACCCTCTCGTACACGACTCAGGCCGACACTAGTAAACCTGTACTAAATGGTCTCCCTAGCCGCGATAACAAGAAACAAGATATAGAATAGAAAGAGAAAGAAAGAGAGAAGGCCCTTGAGCTTAGCAGATATAAAGAGAGCATCAATTGAGCCAAAGATGAATACAGAGCGAGTCCCATTGAATAGCCATGTAAGTACGAGGGGCACATCCTCAAACGAATTGTTTATGCACTCCCCAGGGTTTGGTTTATTATATATATGGGGGGGAGGGGGCATATAAATGCCTGGTCATTTAAGACTATGATGGGTTAGGGGTCGGTCGAGTGTAGGAGTCGCCTTAGAACCTGCACGTTTTCCTCTCTCTCTCTCCCTCTCTGTCACTACTAAAACTCTCTCTCCCTCTCTCTCTCTCTCTCTCTCTCTCTCTCTCCTCCTCTTAAGCCTCGAGTCGCAGCAACTAGAGAGCAACGAAAGCAAGCCACAATTCATTGAACCCACCAAAAGAGGAGAGAAAGAAAAGAGGTGGAAAAAGAGCAGCTTCTTGCTTTTGCTTGGATCACCGAGTTTTCTGGAGGAAGAACTGAGGGGAATGGCTGAGCCGCCGAGCTCGGAGCCGGAGTCCTCCAGCACCAGCTCGCCGCCGTGGCCGTCGGCGTCGTCGACGAGCCCGCAGCAGCCCGCGGGGGCCGAGCAGGGCCGGGCGGCCAAGAGGGGGCGGGACAGCGGCAGCAAGCACCCGGTGTACCGCGGGGTGCGGATGCGGACGTGGGGGAAGTGGGTGTCCGAGATCCGCGAGCCAAGGAAGAAGAGCCGGATCTGGCTCGGCACCTTCTCCACCGCCGAGATGGCGGCGCGTGCCCACGACGTCGCCGCCCTCGCCATCAAGGGCAGCGCCGCCATCCTCAACTTCCCCGACCTCGCCCCCTCCCTCCCCCGCCCCGCCAGCTCCTGCCCCCGCGACGTCCAGGCCGCCGCCGCCAAGGCCGCCTCCATGACCGGCGCCTCCCCCGCCTCCGCCTCCTCCAACTCCGCCGACGCCGCTGTGCCCTCGGCCTTGGACGCATTGTCGCCGCCCAGCTCCGCGCCGACCACGTCCTCCTCCTCCTCCTCCCACTCGACGTCGTCCTCGCGCGACGACGACGTGTCCGCCCCCGAAGAGCTCGGAGAGATAGTGGAGCTGCCTCGGCTGGGGGCCAGCTTCGGGTTCGAGCCGATGATGATGATGATGACCGACCCGAGCGCGATCAACGACTTCATCTACGCGGACGTGGCCGACGCGTGGGCGTACCCTCCGGAACCGTACGGTCAGGATTACGACTACTTCGGCGGCGGCGGCGGCGACCACCACCAGATGACGGCGACTGAGCCGGGCGGTATGGCCGGCGGTTTCGACGCCTTGTTGTGGCAATATTAATGCCTAATAATGCAGAAAGCAAAGAAACGGGTTTGTCATTTGTGTTTTCGAGTTTTAGTGTGCTTGACCCTTGTCTTCTCTTCTTACTTCTTCCTTCTTCTTTTTACCCCTTTTCTTTTTGCGTCCTTTCTTTTCTGCTCCCTCCTTTGGAATACTTTCGTTTTCAAAGTCCTTTTCTTTTCTTGATAAAGAAAATCAAATGTGAGCTAAGCCCTCTTACTAGTTTTTAACCAATTTTCACCCCCCACCCCCACTTTGAATGGATACTATATACCTTCCTTTCTCCTCAAGTTCTCGCAACTTCTTCTCCTTTTCCTCCTTCTTCTTAGTTTTCATTCAGGAGCAAAGCAATGAAAAGTCGTCGCTGCGAGCCTGTGACTGAAGCAGATGGATACAGATTTGCAATCACTTGTTCCTCATGAACAGTAGAGAGACAGAGAGTGATAGAGAGGGTCGATTTCACCTTTTGGAGAAATGAACATGATGAGATGATAAAGTTGAGATGGGGTTGGCTCAGAGATAAGGAAACCCAACACGGCCTCTTTTGCTCTCCCCTGCATGCATGTTACAGATTAAAGACAATATCTGTCCCTTTCTCTCCTTTTCCATATTCTTCTTGTTTCTCCTAATTTCCACAGCGCCCATACAAAAATTGGTATTTGATCAAATTGCACGTACGAATACAATCAATTGGGTCGCTTGCGAACTTGGCAAGTGTGACCGGGAAGAAGGGCGAAAATAGTTTGTTTTCCCGGGAACCATCTTTGGCCTCTCCAATTTTGAGCATAAAATCAGTCGAGTAACAGTGCTTTTCCAACTGATGCCCTACGTTTTTGTCGACGTATTGATTAGTTGCGCGAATCGGATGGTGGAACATGGCATTTCAATGGCGTCATGTGAAAAGATCCCATGTTGCGAAAAAAGTTGCCAAATTAGGAAATGAAAGATACACATTGGGGGGTGTTTTTCCCTTCGAGAGCAAATTGACTTCGACGCAAGCCCTAATCGTCTCGAGTTAACATGACGATGTCTAAAAAAGATTTGGAAAAAAAAATCAATTTGCTTGGAATTACATGCACGATTTAATAATAATTTCAATATCATCACACGAAAAAATCCGTCTTACGAAAAAGTTGCCAAATTAGGAAATGAATGATAGACATCAGGGGTGTTTCTACCTCGGAGCGAATTGACTTCGACGCAAGCCTTGATCGTCTCGAGTTTATGTAACGTTGTCTCATGAAGATCACTGTAAAGAGCTCACAAAAAAAGATCGATTTACTTGGAATTACGTACACAATCTAATACAATATTGTCACGCGAAAAGATTCGTGTTGCGAAAAAAGTTGCCAAATTAGGAAATGAAAGATAGACGTCGGGGGTGTGTTTACCTCAGAGCGAATTGACTTCGACAAAAGCCCCAATCGACTCGAGTTTACTTGTCATCTCAAGAAGATCACTGCAAAGAGCTAAAAAAAAGATCGATTTACTAGGAATTACATACACAATCTAATAATAATTTCAATATTATCACGTGATAAGATCCGTGTTACAAAAAAGTTGCCATTTTAGGAAACGAAGCATAGACATCAGGGATGATTTTACCTCGGAGTGAATTGACTTCGACGCAAGCCCTAATCGTCTCGAGTTACATGACGTCATCTCAAGAAGATCACTGCAAAGAGCTCGGAAAAAAAAGCCGATTTACCTTGGAATTACGTGCACGATCTAATAATAGTTCGTGCATATTACAGTTAGTCCGAATATGCACACCAATTATTCGTCATCGCCCGACAGTTTGTTAGACTTGCAAGCACCGTGAATTATTGCTAGATAGGGTCCAAACACTCAGGAATTTTGTCAGTTTTCGGACCGACGTACGCATTTCTTATTTATTTAATCCAGAAAAAGTACTAATTATCTTCAAGCCTTATTGCAAATAATAATAATAATAATAATAATCGAGAGAATCCCAGAATTTATTATTAAGCCGCGAAGTCGGACGGACTTTCGAGTTTCAACGACATTTGTCCTCCACAAAAAAAACAAAAAAAATAATTACATTAATCATAATATCTATAATATACGCACGTATTGTTTTCTTTTTGGTTGTATGAGTCTTTTCATGTCTTTGACAATGGCATATCAACCACCGTATACCTGCAACTTTCCCTAACCGACTTGTTATAAATATGTGCGCATGTATATATATATATATATATATATATATATGTGGGGGGCAATTATTTTAATAATGAATTATATATTCTTTTAGCCTGCTATCGCACAAAAAAATTTAAATTATAAAAATGGACGACCAATGCGAATGGCGTGCATATAAAGAAGTCGTCAGTATAATTTATATACGACCCCTTTCTAATTTTGAGCCAAAAATATGCATAATTGACACTTTCTTGGAAAAAATTATTGGAGAATTAGACGATAATCAAATTAATGAAGAAGCAATAAATAGGTATGGCGAGACCATACAGGAGAAAAAAAAAAAGCTCCATCAAGGTCAAATCACTAGTTAAAGGCAACACGAAACCATATACGATGTTTAAATATCGTAAATCGCTACATTATAGGGTCCGCTTCTGTCCCAGTTTATATCGATTGTGCGTCCATCCCGCTTCTCGAATTTCACATGTCATTTCTAAACTTTGCTAAGCCTCTTGGGATTAGACTTTCCAACGTACTAAAACTTTGTGCATATTTCTCTCTTTCTTCCCTTTTTCATTGGGTTATAAAAGTTCGTACACATTATTATTTGTCAAACCCAAACCCAAATGGAGGTGAATGTGTGTGCGTGTACAAGGATTTTGCTAAGAGAATCTGTGGGGTATATACAAAGTGAATGATAGCTTCGGTCCTACATATCTTCATGACCTAATCAAGGTCGCGCTAATTATTCGGTTTTGAGCATATTAAATTCCAACCCACCTTATTATAAATGAAGTAGCAAGAGCACTATTTATTAAGGCCAACATGGGTCAACTTGCTCAGAGAAGATATAAATCAAAGCCTACCATCATTGCCCTAATGGCAAGTCCAAACACGATTGGCATAATTTCTCAAGCCCCTAAGTTACGGCAATGAAGATATTTAACCAAAGATTCAACTCATTACAAGACTTCTAAGTCAAGATCTTGAGTAACAATATAGAATTGATTGAGGGGCATAATTGCACAAGCTATGGCAAGCATGGCACCTCTAGTCTTGATTAAAATCAAAGAGATAATAAAATAATTTTAGAAAATTTAATGAAAAGGGTTGCGAGGAATATTTGGGTGGAGTGGAGAGTGGACTTGGACCGAGCAAAGAACTAACAAAGAAAACCCTTTTTTGCCTTCAGAAATCAATTAATTAGTCAAAAAAAATAGTTTTTAATATCTATTACTCACTGCCCAGCGCCTACTTCCCCCACAAGGAGATGCATTGTTTCCTCTACAAAGAAGTCAACCTCCATTGGCCCATTCCACAGAAGGTGTCGTGAGCAAAGGCAAAATCGCGTCAAATTACCAAGGACCCACTTCTTCTTTTTCCACTCTGTCTTCTTGTTAAGATTTATTTATTTGACTATTCAAGAAAATTAAAAATTTATTGGGGTTGGATATTGGCTGGCCTCAAATCTAGCAGTGACATTATTTTTATTATTATTATCTTTTGTGTGTAGTAAAGCTAAAACCTAACACTTGGTTTTGAAGAAACCATGAGCATTTGGTGAGCAAGCAAAACCCTTTTACAAAGTTCTTTGTGCGTTGCCTTTATGAGGTTTTATGTTGGCCATTGCTTTGCGTTCCTCATGTTTCCTCTGTTTAGGGCAAGTGCTTTAGAGAAAAAAATATTGTTAATATAAACGGAAAAAAATATAAAAAAATCTGAGCAGAACTGCAAATGTCTGAATTGTTAAAATAATGTAGGCTAAAGATATATAAATATAAGGACGGGCGATGGCATTATATAGATTCCATTAGGCATGTCCACAAATGGAAAGCATCCAGGAGGACCATTTGTCTTAGAATATTAGCAAAAGGAAATTGCAAAAAAAAATTAAAATTAAAATTTTTTGATAAGGAGAGATATCAGAAAGTGCAACTGCTCATAAAATGATGGTTCGTATACCAAATTATAAAGGATTTTTATGTTGCGTCGTTTCCGGACTGTCACGTGTCCCAATTTAATTGTGATAGATGCTGCTAATTGTGTATGTAAAATCAATTCAATTATAAAACACCACTTTTTTTCTTTTTTTAATAATCGAGAGATAAAGAATGGCAAAGCTTTGTCGTTTCCTTACCAAAAAAAAAAAAAAAAGAATGGCAAAGCTAAATTCCAAAGGCCCCGTACAGGCATTAGAAAAGAGGCATAACAATGGATTTAATGTTATTTTTTTTCTAGCTCAAAATTCATTCGTTTCCATATCGAATTCAATAGCTTTCTTACTAGACAGCTCAATTGGTGAAAGTACCAAAAACGTCGTAAATTTATTGCATTGGTATAAATTCAGTCTTGAACCTTGTTATTAGACCAATTTAGTTCTAAACTTTTGTATTTATGTCAATCAAGTCCATCTAGCCAATTTTGGCCAAAAATTGCTAATGTGGACGTTGGGCGTTCTACGTGGCGTAGCCGACGTTGATATGAACATTTTCTTAATAATATTTTATAATTTTTTGTTCTTTTCTTTTTTATTTTTTTCCTTTCATTTTGGCCGGCGAGGGTGAGGACCAGCAATCCCTCACTAGATTTGGGCAAGGGCCGCCTCGCATAAAGCCGGCGGGGCCATGTAGGCCCTCACCCTCACTCGCTGCCGGTGAGGCCGTGATGGCCTTGGGCGACCTTGCTCGATGCAGGCGAGGTGGTCCTTGCCCAAATCTAGGCGGGACCGCGACCTTGGGGGAGGGCCTTTGCGCCCTCGTCGGCCACCCGCCCAGTGGCTAGTGAGGGTGGGCAGCCAAAATGATAGAAAAGAAAAAAGAAATAAAAATAATTCAAAATTTTAAAAATTATTAAAAAATTGTCCACGTCAGCGATTTCCGATCAATATTGATCGGATATACTCAATTAGGACAAATGCAAAAAGTTTAGGACTAAATCAGTTCCAATTGATAAGACTTAATACCAATATAATAGATTTAAGACTTTTTTTGTACTTTTTTCGCTAGCTCAATTCGACTATACTCAGTCACTTTCTTTTCCTTGTTTAATTACTATTTATTTTTTAGCTGAACCACCCTTGGTCAGTCAAATTGATATTTTCTCAAATAAGGAAAACCTATGGAGCATG